CACCATGAAGCAGCCGCTCTCCACCTTGCAGGAGTGACACCTGCTCAGGTAGGAGGACATGTCAGAGCAGTCACTGCTGGTCTCATAGGAACGACCCTGGAAGTTCCTGTCCTCGTAGAAGATGATCTGTAAAAAGAAATCATTATGATAACAGTGTATCAAAGATTTTATAAAGTACACCTTTTTTCAGTTTTAACGACGACCCTGATTTGATTTGAATGTTAGAAATCGAGTGCTGTAAATACCTTGCCCATGGTCATGGTTACAGTTTACTACTATTGCTTCAGCTCTAAATGACTGCACACTTTTTTCGATGTCCCCCAGTTGCTTTTATACCTGACCTAGCATCAAAGGAAAACATGACCCCATTGTTGAAATTCCTGACAGAGCAATACGTAGAAGAGGCCCCCGTGTACAGTTCAATTCAAAGTGACCTATAACAGTTCATGATTTGCTTTGGTTGCAATAGTGGGAAGAGGCCCTGCTTTGCATTGTCTGTGCTGCTGAACAACACCAGCCGTTTTTTCACAAACAACATACTGTACTTCACTTTGAAGGGCACATTAAATATGTAACCTCTGATCTAGAGTCAATTAATGGATTCATAGCCATGACAAAATACATGACTGATGCAGGATTAACTATACGAGTCTAAGAAAACATGTGGATTTTATCAAATGTAATTATTCTACACCATGATATATAAAAAAAACAGTAAGGCCCCTTGACACATTTATTTGTTTTTTGAGATAAAACCATATAACAATTTTCCAAAAGTCACACGCCAGATAATATGTTGCTTTGTTTCTTATATTATTTCCAAATAAAAGTGTCTTTATTTTTAGAATAATATCTCTTGGTAAAAACTTAGTTTTTTCAGAAAAAGATGTACAACATCTACTTTAGATACAATACAGCATACAAAACCAACTGATCATATTATTTTTAGGGCTGTCAGTCGATTAAAATATTTTAATCGCGATTAATCGCATGATTGTCCATAGTTAATCGCGATTAATCGCAAATTAATCGCACATTTTTTATTTGTTCTAAATGTACCTTAGAGGGATATCTTTCAAGTTTTTAATACTCTTATCAACATATGAGTGGACAAATATGCTTTATATGTTTGTTTATTATCATTTGAACAATGACAAATATTCTCATGAATATTAAACACAACAACCTCTGAACATTACAAATATTCGCCTCAATTCAACCTGGAACCTCTCTCATACTGTGTGTGTGTGTGTGTGTGTGTGTGTGTGTGTGTGTGTGTGTGTGTGTGTGTGTGTGTGTGTGTGTGTGTGTGTGTGTGTGTGTGTGTGTGTGTGTGTGTGTGTGTGTGATGTGTGTGTGTGTGTGTGTGTGTGTGTGTGTGTGTGTGTGTGTGTGTGTGTGTGTGTGTGTGTGTGTGTGTGTGTGTGTGTGTGTGTGTGTGTGTGTGTGTGTGTGTGTGTGTGTGTGTGTGTGTGTGTGTGTGTGTGTGTGTGTGTGTGTGGTGATGGATCGTTGAGCTATGTGCAGCTCAAGGCATATATGCTCGAATGGGAGCTGCCTGGACGCTGCAATAATGTTGCGCGTACTATCCGTGCTGAGTGTGCTGACTTTTCGTACAATGTCACACTGCATAAAGTCAAGTGCTCGGCGCAGTTGTCGGCGAAATGTCATTGAAACAGCTCCTTATATCCGTTAGCGCAGCTAGCTAGCACCAGATGCTAACAACAACAACACGTAAGGTGTGCCTCGCTCGCGCGAGTCGCGCCACACATACACACTCCCTCCCGGTCCTCCCGATGGCCAGTCCGGGCCTGCCAGTGAGCGTGGAAGTGTGGTCTGCCACAAGCGGGCGGCAGGAGCGGGGCTGTCAGCATCAGCTTGTCGATGGTATTTTACACTCGATGCGCTCTGAAACTACGGCGGCCGAGGACAAAAAATACACATGCGTTAATCGCGTTAAAATAATTAGTGGCGTTAATTTTTTTTGCGTTAACGCGTTATTAACGCGTTAACTTGACAGCCCTAATTATTTTATATCACAATCTCCAAATACATGATTTGTATGCTGACATTATTCATACAAATAGTTGGAATGTAATTAACTTGGTTTTTATTGTATCTAGTGTACATTTATTAAATACTGTATGTGATACTGTGCACATTCAGTTCAGCAATTATAGACCATAAGAACAATAATAAAAGAATACTATATTAACTCACAACTTTGACTACAACCAAAATGAAGATTAAATATATCAATTAATTTGTAAGTTTATAGCTTTTGGAGCAATCATTTTGATGGTTTGATTGTAATACTATTTAATGATTAATACCCAAGAACAGTCTTGCATGTACTCGCCACAAAAATAAATAGCTAAAACACATCACAATCATACTAGATAAATTACTGATATTTCAAGCTGTTTTTCCCTTTAAGCACTCATTCATCTTGTGGATTAATAGCCATCTGATATTGAAAAAACTGGGTGAATGAAACAGGAGTGGGGTAATTGCTTTTGTCACATCGAAGGTAGGGGGGGTGGAGTCAAATCCAACATGATATATAAATCTGTAGTCTGTAAATCATTGGTGATTGCAATAAGTGTGGTATTTTGAGAAACCAAAAGGGTAGATGGTGCTGGAGAAAGAGAGGTACACGGAGGAGCATTTCCAAATAAGCTAAGCCTCAAGTTAAATGGCTCCGTCTTTACCTGCAGGCAACCTTCAAAGGAAAAACACAAAGCAGCACTAACTGGCAGAGTAGGAGGCTGACAGATTGCTTAATTCACTCAGTGAAGATGTTGCAGATAATGCTACTCAATGAAGAATTGCATGTGATGGTAGTAAAAACCTTAAACTGCCACATTTAATTCGATTTCCTTTCTGCCCAGAACTAAAGCGAATAAATTAGTGCAAAAGTCAAGTATAGATAATTTGATATGGATCTAAAATACATTAAATGCTCTTTGATTTGATTGCACTTATAAATGACTTACTCAGGGTTCCCGCGGGGTCTTAAAAAGTCTTACATTTGATAATCAGAATTTAAGGCATTAAAAAGGTCTTAAATATGATTTAAAAAAAAAAAAAAGGTCTTAAATATGATTTAGAAGGTCTTAATAATGATCGGATTTGAAAGGTACTTCTGTGTTGCGATCGCGTCTAAATGTGTTTTGGGGGAAATGTCTGGGCTGCAAAGTAACCCAGTACGGTAAGAGCCTTTCAGTTCCCCCCAAACATTTGTATTGAAATAAATCAACATGGAACCAGTTATCATTAACTTTGTTTCCCCCGGCCCCTTATCGGAGAACACCCAGCTAGTAACCTAGCAACCAAGCTTCAGCTAGCGGAAGTCAGAAATGAGGTATCTTCGATACTTACAAATAAATATGGGGAAGTGTAAGTTCAACCGTATTTGGTTGGAAAACATCAAATTTAGTGCTTGGTTGAACCAGTGGAGGGGAATGTGTTTGAAGCCCGCTGCACCTTTGGCAAACAAAATTAGCGTTTGTTTTGCTAATGTAGCATTAGCTAGTGCAGCTACTCCTGCAACAACACCGGGGGACCTCCGGGCGACGTTTGAGTCTACGGCAACCCTAAAAGCGGAGGTGCTGTGGACGCTAAATACCGTAGCTAAACACCAATCATACAACAGCATGAAGACAGCTGAGCTCTGACTATAGCTCTTGACACACACACACACACACACACACACACACACACACACACACACACACACACACACACACACACACACACACACACCGACAAAGAGACACACATACACACTTTTTGTCTAACACGCTAACACAGTTCAGTGTACTGTTATGCTGTTATGTTCAGTCATCGTTCTTATGTTGAACATGAATACATTTACTTTGTAAGTAATTATGGGACGTATTTCTTCTTTCCTAGCAATTTTCCTTCATACTTTCTTGCCGTGAAATAGGTCTTAAATTCTATTCAAAGTGGTCTTCAAAAGGTCTTAAAAAGTCTTACATTTGAGTTGGTGAAACCTGCAGGAACCCTGTTACTGAGAAGCCTTCCAGAGACAACTTTATTTGCACTGGCTTCTTAAATATTGACATCATGTTAAACTCCCAGTCTATGTAAAGTGAACCGCACCATTTTAATTGAGACAACGTTGTCTGTGTTGTCCTTATTCGGATCCACATGACTGTGTGGTCTCTCATGTTGTTGTGGAATGTGTGCTGCACCACTTGTGGACTGTGCCTTTCACAACTGAATCAGTCAAATGATGAAATTCTACGTAACAAAAACTGTGCCTTGAATTATTAACTCCTTCCTAAGTAATGCTATATCGTGGTATATCTTTTTATGTGAAACATTTTTCAACCCATGTGGTTTTATACAATGTTTTAAAAAAACAATTTTGGAAATATATTTATGTATTTGCATTAACTTCCTAAAGGTGGGGTAGGTAAGTTTGAGAAACCGGCTCGAGATACACTTTTTGTTATATTCCATGGAATGCTCTTAACATCCCGATAGCAATGAATATCTTAAGTGCTTTGACAAAAAATCCATAAAAAAATGTCATCTGTGGAAGCCGTAGTACTGTAAAAAGCACGACCAATCATTTTAGCCGGCCCGGCTAAAATAACTGGATGGCCTGCCTGCCTGTCAGCCTTCCATCTGTGCACAAACTTATCTCGTGCCCTCATTGGTCATGTGCACGTTCGTGTGTTGGAGGAGGGGCTCTGTAAGGAAGTGGCAGATTTTTTCCGGCTGTGCATTTTCAAATTCTAGCGCACTCGAGCTGGTTTCTCTAAAATTACCTACCCCACCTTTGAGGTGAAAATATGAGGTTGTATATGATGGATAAAGAAGATAACGGAACCAATTAATAAGCAAAATAATTATCTATAATATACATCTCTTTTGTCTATTTTGTATTTAACAGTTGCATTCAAATCAGACATAATGTACTATTAAAATATTATTAACAATAAAGATTGCATACGCCAGGTTATATATGGATTTCTTTTATTTCAGAGTTTTGTTGAACGAAAACCAATTCATTTGTAAAACTAACAGGAGTCAGTAATGCGTCTGATGGAGCTGAATCTCATTGCATCGTATCCCATGTCCCTGAAGCTCTTGTACTCTCCGGGCCTCAGGTACATCATCTTGCCTCTGAACTGGGGCTGCTCGTACATCAGCCAGTGGCCATCCATCACGTTGCAGGACTGGCAGTCAGACATATGGTAACGGTCCTGGATGTTGTCACAGTCCTCATTTACCTCATTCATCTGACCACCAAAGTTCTCCCTCTCGTAGATCCTCACTTTGTAGGACCCTTTGTGCTGTAAAGAGTATATATATTGAGTTAGTCGTCTCGAATGATAATTGAGCTCCTCATGAGAAATGCAGAATTTCATGATATCATACCATGGGGATCATCCGACAAGACCTGATGCAGTCACCGAAACCCATCATACGCTGGTAGTCAGAGTACTCGCCCCTCTTCATGAAGTACTGGTTTCCCATGTAGTTGGTGCGGTCGTAGACCATGAAGCAGCCGCTCTCCACCTTGCAGGAGTGACACCTGCTCAGGTGGGAGGCCATGTCAGCGCAGTCGCTGCTGGTCTCATAGGAGCGACCCTGGAAGTTCTTGTCCTCGTAGAAGATGATCTAGAATCCAACAGAGCAATTACAGTTTAGTATTACATCAAGGTGGATGGTAAATAAAAAATAACCCTGATGTAAACAGCTTAGTATGTAATCATTATCTTAGTGTGGTAATAGTGCAAAAAAGGATGCATCTATGTTCCCTTTCTATGCACACAACTATACATTACATATAAAAACAATGAAGCAAAGACAAGAACTGAATGTGTGCAAACGTTGATAGAGAATCATAAATAAATCTATCCATGATACACTCACCTTGCCGTGCATGGTGGCTGATGTATTGACTGATGCTATAGCATTCCTATCCGGGATTTAAGCCTTTTTTATACCTAACGTGGCATCCAAACAATCGACGGCACCATTGTATGGAAGCCATGAGTCAGCAGAATGCAATGTTAGACTCTCGGTTTGTGAATGCTGATGGGAAAGGATTTATTATACGTCCTCCCACAGGCTCTATCATTCCAGATAAAAGGGCTTCTGTGATTTAAAATAGTGATTACTTTGACTGAATGATTCAATTTGTTTGGTTCAGAATTAACAGCCGGGGGCAAAGATGTTTGTACATGTTTGAATCTTTTTAAGGTGTTACGGCCTGGCTCATAGGCTGCAACAAAGATGGGAGACCAGACAAGTTAAGTGTAAGAAAAGCGTATTTATTTAGTATAAGCAAAACCAAAGGTCTTCAAAGAAACCTAATAAACATGGAAGTCAGTTATCAGTAATGATTGCGTGTATGGGTGTGTGAAAATGTGCAGAAACAAAGATGCGGCCGTGTCCAACAGAAGAATGAGAGGGCAGTATGGGTTGGTGTTGGCCTTTTATGTCGACGGCCCAGGTGTGGCTTCTCAGATTGATTACCTGAAACACAAACAAGAGCCAGCAAGCAGAACACAAAGTCAGAGACCCCTAGTGGAGTGGAGGGGGTCGTATCCCCCCCCCCCTTAAAAAAAGGGTTCCCCCTAGGAACACCGTCCAAATATAGCAACCAACACAGAATAATGTTTAAATGCATAGTTCAAAATTAATTACATATACATGTTCCATACTGACCGGTTAGAATTTCAATGTTCACCCAGTCTCCATTTTCCAACCCAGCAACTCTAGTGCCTGAAGAAGCCTTTTAAGAGATGCAACACAGCAACATCAGCGCCTAAGGAAGCTTTTCAAGAGTTTACAGGAAAGATGGAGATCAGAGAGAACACACACTGAAGAGAAGGGTGATGGATGATGGGCCATGCATGGAAGAGCATTAACTAAGAGGTCCAAAAACAGATAATCATTCAACAGTGTCCGACAAATTACCTGCAGCTAGACAAAGCTTGCTAAAGCTTTGCCTTCACCAATATTCCAGCTATCACAAACTAGAATCAACATAAGCGTCAAACCAAAGCTTCCTTTGAAACAAACGGCTCACTAGCCAACCAAGTCTTCCTCAGAAGCACAGCACAAAGAGACAACCAAACTACGCAAAGCTCACCCAACCAAGGCATGAACTGCAACGCTTATGTTCCCGAAGCTTACAGGTCTAACTAACCACTTGCAGACACTTCCAACAAATTACCATTTTGCACTTCCCTCCTGCTACCATCTACTTACTTCCACAATAACCACTGTAGCATCCCACACTAAGATATCACCACAACACAGACTTGTTTTAGAACTAATAAAGCCAAACGGTTTTCCAGGATTAAGCTACCAATAGGAAAACATCAACATTATGTAACTACGGCGAGACAGATAACAAACACTCATGTAAACATTGTAAACTCACTTAACACATTTTCAGCCGATCTCAACTAGCACATACACAGATAACAGCAGTCATGTCCCTCTATCTACCAAACCAAACTACCTAAACTCCCCCCTAGTCTTCAGGTGCTACTTATGGTGGGTATTTATGCACTGAAACCCACAAGCCCGGTAAAGCAACCAGCAATTGGCAACTGCACCCGCAGCTTTGGACGTGCTCCCGAGCTAATAGCTCTAACCACGTCCACACCACACTAAAACCCCCCAACGAATTCCAAAGGGTTGAGAAAACCAAGGTAATGCTCTTTTCTAAAGCTAAAAAGACTCCAGAGACTGCTTTAGATATTGTGACTATGCAAGGACAAGTACTCCAAGTGGTTAGCTGTTATAAATACCTTGGTATCTGGCTTGATGATTGTCTTACTTTTAAACTTCACGTCACTAATCTGCTTAAAAAGCTGAGGGTTAGACACGGTTTCTTTTTCAGAAACAAGTCCTGTTTCTCTTTTGAAGCCAGGAAAAGGCTAGTCACTGTGACCTTTTTACCTGTGCTAGACTATGGTGATTTGATCTATATGAATGCACCTGCCCATTGCCTGGAAAGGTTAGATGCCGCCTATCACAGTGCTCTGAGATTTGTTACTAACTGTAAAGTACTTACTCATCACTGTACCCTGTATGCCAAGGCAGGTCTGCCTTCACTTACTGGTCGGAGGCTCAGTCATTGGTACATATTCATATATAAAGCCATGCTGGGTAAACTACCGACTTATATATGCTCTTTGATCTCACGGAGAGTGGCAAGTAGCTATTGCCTGAGATCCCAGGATGTGTTTTTATTACATGTGCCAAGTGCTAGGACTGTTTTAGGTACTAAAGCTTTTATGTGCGCTGCTCCTCTAGCTTGGAACACCATGCAAAAAATATTGAAACTGAGCATTTTGATTCCCTTGCATCGTTTTAAAGCACGGCTGGATGAAATGTTATTGGATACCTGTCAATGTAAATAGGTTGCTAATGTATACCCCTGTAATTATGTTGTGATGTCCTTTTGTTTTCTGTTTGTTTTTATGTGTAACTAATGTACCGCAGGTCTCCCTTGAAAAAGAGATCGTTGATCTCAATGGGATTTTTTAACCTGGTTAAATAAAGGCTACAAACAAACAAACAAAGGGAATCCGTTCTGAAGCCTACAGGGACAGAAGTGAGAGACACTCACAGGACCACCAAAAATCGGCTGCAAAAATCACCAATATAACGAGCTTAGCGACGAAAACCAAAAACACCACCCACCTGCATTTCATTACAACTGCTTACATTATCCAACAAAAACAAACATCTACTCACTACACTTGTCCATGTATCCCAAACAACCAGCATGCACACAACGAGGTGCACCTGCCTATCAAGTTACAGCTGATCTGATTCCTGTAATCAGTCTCAGCCCTTCAATCCACTAACAAGCAGACAAAGATGGCTGCACTACAGAATTAGAAACATTAGGCGCGTTCACACCAAGTAATTTGCCGTATTTAGTGCTGGCACTCAGTGCCCCGGTACTTATTACCCCAGGGCATTTAGTACAGATCGCGTTCACACCGGAATAAATTCCCTGAGGGAAGATTACGCAAATGAGCCGCTGACGTCACTTCGTCTTCTTCTGCTTTGGGTTTACTGGCAGGCCGCAAACAACTTCACGGCGTATACTGCCACCCGGAGTCCCCGGCCGGAAGTCCCCGGAGTTGGGGACTGGCTTCAGTAGAAGCTGCTGGGACTCCCAGCAGCTTCTACTGAAGCCTTCCGAGTAAATCGCCAGAACGCCGACACCTCCTCATCTCCACCGCTCTCATGTTTTATTTTGTGTTGCCATAAGTTAGTCTCTCTGCGTTTGTGCACTGGGCGAATGCTAATGCTAATAATGCTAATGCGAGGATAATAAAATTGCAGCTCTACAAAACATTTCAGAGTTGTACAGGGCGTGGTTTGCAATTCGCCCAGCCAATCAGAACTGGGGCACTTTTTTTCCCCCAGGAAAGTACCATCTCTCAGCAGGCACTAAAAATGGGGGTAAAAGTTCCCGAGATTAAGTGCTCTTTTTGGTGTGAACGCGACATAAGGGGTACTAACGGAACTAAACGCGAAAAGTACGGTGAAAAGTACTCCGGTGTGAACGCGGCTATTGTCAAAAATGTCGGACGAGTCCCCATTTGTTACGGCCTGGCTCATAGGCTGCAACAAAGATGGGAGACCAGACAAGTTAAGTGTAGGGAAAGCGTATTTATTTACTATAACCAAAACCAAAGGTCTTCAAAGAAACCTAATAAACATGGAAGTCAGTTATCAGTAATGATTGCGTGTATGGGTGTGTGAAAATGTGCAGAAACAAAGACGCGGCCGTGTCCAACAGAAGAGTGAGAGGGCAGTATGGGTTGGTGTTGGCCTTTTATGTCGACGGCCCAGGTGTGGCTCCTCAGGTTGATCACTTGAAACACAAACAAGAGCCAGCAAGCAGAACACAAAGGCAGACTCCTAGTGGAGTGGAGGGGGTCGTAACATAAGGTATAGTATGGATTTCTTCGTTATCATTATGATCAGGCTGGAGTGACACTAAAAACGGTTTTAAATAATAATGTTGAACATCAATTATCTCAAGTGTTCCTACAAAGGCGCTGCTGCTATTTTAAATGTCTGCATTATTTCTATCAAGGACCCAGCAAATACCTGTGGAATTTATGGCACTATTTGTTTTAGTTAAAGTTAAGTTAAAGCCTTTTATTGTCATTGTACACAGAGTATAACGAGATTCAGAGTGCAACTCTGTCCCGAGGCCTGTACTACGAAGCCGGATTTTCCTAACCTGGATATGTTTGAGTTAGCTGGTTGGCCCAATCCAAAACATACGCGCTCTGGCTAAACTGTACTACGACGCTGGTTATCAAGTGGATCGCTCAAGCCAGCCGTGTCCTATCTAGTTAGGTGCGCGTTCACATGAAAGGGGTGGTATTTGGAGCATTCGACCAATCTCAAACACGGACAAGCGTACTGACAGCGCAGCGTCATACTTCCTGAATGAAAAGTGAACTTTAATATTAGTCAAATATGAAGAAGTTAAACTTTAAACATCCATGACTTAAACACTTTATCCAGGATAAAAGCCACATAGCTGCACCTGCAAGGTGAATACAGCTGGTAAAAGAAAAAGCGTTTGAATGCGTACATTAACAGGTTTATGAAATCACTGCCCCGTCCAAGACACGAGTGGATCTGACTTTAATTAGGAGAATTTGACTCGAGTGTTTCGTCAACTTAATGTGTTGCTTAAAATAATACTTCTGCATACAGTATGTGACACTGTGAGTGTTGCACGGCCAGATATGGCTCAAGAAGCTGACTCAAATAAGGAAATATATGATACATTATGATGTGATATGATATGAATGATAATGGGACACATCGACGTCTGCACTCACAGTGCCGCGGACTGTACTTAATGTTACTCTGATCCGGTTACTTATGTCTTGGCAGATATTGAAGTAAGCTTTCTTAACGCTAATGTTATAAAATTCAGATTGCTGTGAAGATGGGAGGGGATATTCTATTAATTTTCACGTTCACACAGTCAGTTGATTTTTGCCGGCCGTCTTTCCTGCAACGGCAGTTTTTCTGTATTTCCTCTATCCTGTAATATGACTTGATAGCTTTAAACTCCGCACACGGAGCTCTGATTGGTCAGCAGGCGGTGCTTTCACTGAGTTGATCTCTTAGCCTGCAACCAAACCTCCTCCCGAGGAGGTTAGCCGCTCAGCATAAGTTACCATGGAGATCTAGCCCGCTAAAAAGAGAACCAGCGTCGTAGGACCGGAAAGCCCGAGTTTTCCCTGAAGTCAGCCGGCTAAGCGAAAATCCGGCTTCGTAGTACAGGCCTCCGGTGTGCAAAAAATACAAACACATACAGAACACTAAAAAAAAACACGGCAATAGGACAGACAACATAAACAATCATACGGGGGAATAAATAGTTAAAAATATTGATATAAAAATAGTATATAAAGTGCATTAAAAGTGTGTGTATGTGTGAGCATGGTTATGGTTATTGCATTATGTGTGGTGGTTAAGCAGCCTGACGGCCCAGGGGTAGAAACTGTTTTTGAGTCTGTTTGTCCGTGACTTGAAGCTCCTGTATCTTCTCCCAGAAGGCAGGAGAGAGAACAGTCTGTGACCTGGGTGAGAGCTGTCCTTAATCATTTTGTTAGCTCTGTTGCGGCAGCGGGAGGTGGAGATGTGTTGCCAGTTGCCCTGCCCTCTCTGGAACTTCTCAGCCATTTTTAGAACACATTATGGGATAACTTTATATTTTGACTTATTTGTACACACATAACATCGACGTGTTGTGTTATCATATGCATAGTTAAAGTAGTTGACCTTATTTTACAATGCATGCTTCAAGTTGGATAGAAGTTGGTTTGTTTGCAATGAAACTAGATATACTTTTTACATTACAAGGCAAAATAAGTTGATTCTAGTATGGTGTACTGTATGATACTTTACCCACTGCAAAGAAGTCAACATGTAAAAAGTGAACTATATCTAGGTATTGTCTTTATTTTATTTCCTCTAAGATTAGGACCTATACCTGTTTTTGCATCTTGACTTGATACTGTTTTATACTTTTTTTTTTCAAAAATACCATTATCATGTAAATTGTTTGTATTTTATTCATGGTATTTTATGCTGCCTTCTAGTCCAGGTCTTTCTTCTAAATATGATTTCAATCAAAAACAAATCTTTTATCTGGCTTAAATAAGGAAATAAAAAAATAAAATAAAATGCAAAAGAATAATACAAAATATTATTGAACAGAGCTTCACGTGATCTTTTTCAGGACTAAAAACTACTGCTTTAGCTGTGATCATAATTTCCGATGAGACGTGTCACATAGTAAACTCAGTCTTCTTTATACAGTATCTCATACGAAAACAAAGTTAGTTTATAGCATATCCCAGTTGTAATAAAACAGCTGTAATAATATTCCAATTAGCTTAGTTTGGATTTTATAATTTTAGATTTTTCTTGCAGAATATCTGCATTAAAAGGATTTTTTACATCAATTAATCTATTCCCTTTCATTATTACTGATTATGTAAATGTTTGCAATGTGCTGTGTCTATGGTATCATAGCATTTTTATTCTCATTATAATTCAACAAAGAAGTTCCATTGATGTTGTAAAAGTACTTGGTTTGAACACCTTTATTTTTTGATTGTCATTGTTTATTGCATGTTTTACATAACTTCATATTTTTTTAATGAAATAAAACAGGAAAAAAGCCACAGGTTTTATCTTAAATGTTTTATTTCAAGATAGAACATTTCTAGCACATATCAGTGATACGCTTCATGCTCATGAACCTCTGGCCGCTCATGCCCATCTCCCTGAAGTTCCTGTACTCTCCGGGCCTCATGTACATCATCTTGCCTCTGAATTGGGCCTGCTCGTACATCAGCCAGTGACCGTCCATCACGTTGCAGGACTGGCAGTCTGACATGCGGTAACGCTCCTGGATGTTGTCACAGTCCTCCATCATCTCGTGACTCTGACCACCGAAGTTCTCCTTCTCGTAGATCTTCATCCTGAACTGGCCTCTGTGCTGTTGTTGGAAAGGATTCAAACAAATCAATATCTTTATATCAAGTTTTGTGAGGGTTGTCACATGTAGAAGAATCACAGTAGGACATATGTTGCTAAATACCTACCATGGGGATCATACGGCAAGACTTGATGCTTTCCCTCATTCCCATCATGCTCATGTAGTCGGAGTACTCGCCCCTCCTCATGAAGAACTGGTTTCCCATGTAGTTGTTGCGGTCGTAGACCATGAAGCAGCCGCTCTCCACCCTGCAGGACTGGCTCCTGCTCAGGTAGGAGGACATATCAGCGCAGTCGCTCATGCACTCATGGGAACGACCCTGGAAGTTCCTCTCCTCGTAGAAGATAATCTGAAAATCATGGATGCATTAGAAATACTTTTGGTATGCAGTGAAAGTATTGACACAATTTTATCTAGAAAGCCTTTTGTATACTCTGTTTGAATAACAACATTTGCAATATTAGTGTATAATGTAAGAAATCGTCCTGGAGCCTACCTTTCCCATGCTCATGTCAGTGGTGGACATAATTGTAGATGAGCTGCTGCTGTTGCTACTGCTGTACTGCTGTCCTGTGTCATTTAACTCTAGCTTTTATACCTGCCCAAACCCTACAGAGTTAGTGGGCCCCCATTGTTCAAACCACTGACCCAGCAACATGGTACAGTATGGAGCACTGTACAGGCCTGTGTTACTGTGTTGCAATATCACATGACTAGGCCATCGAATACTTTAGAAATTGTACCCTTCCAACCAGGTAACACAAACATGGCCACTAGGGAGCATACCACTATGCACAAATGCCCAGAACAGCAAACCTGATTTAATTTCTGGATGGACAGACGGTTTGCTGCATGTCATTCCAAAAAAAAATGTTTACAGCACAATGTTCAGATGTTTATTATTCCAAAAGCCTAATAGCCTTTCCCAAAACAAAACACTTTTAGTGCCAATGGCCCATCTATTAAGCTATTATGCAGAATAACGTCATTGGAAATGTTCTTACCATACCGAACATACTCTAGCTCTTATTTGTTTTTGCCTTCGTTGACTAAAAACGAGGAATGAGATTGGTTAAAATGGTCTAAATACAGTAAGCCAATTAGAGGCAGTAAGGCGGGTCAAGCTTTCACTATAGCAGTGAAAAAATATCATAACAGAAAAGCTCCATTTACACCATCTACTTCTGTTTATCGCACGGAGAGTATCCATTTTCAGAGCGAAAGGCCATTAGAAAAATTGTCCGTCTGTTCTCTGGTAACGGACTGTCGGACAGATGGGCTTTTGGAATAGTTGGCCATTGGATCAGTGACATTAAACCCTCTCTTTTTCAAAATGTACAGTTCATCACTATCAAATGAAAACCTTAAGATTAGGAATTATGATGTTAGTGCTGCGATTGCGCTGAAACTGATTTTTTTCTCTCTGCAACCCAAGCCTGGCAATATGCCTCTCATACTCTCCACTTTAGAGGCCATTGTTTGTGTACATTCTTGCAACATAAGCACTAGCTAACATTCAAGGAGCAAGTAAGAGGTTTAATGCAATTGAACTGCTGATCAGATGTTATTTTTAAAAGGTCTTCCAAGTTTAATACACTGTAAACATGTTCTCTTAAAGGGGACCTATCATGCAAAATACACTTTGTGATGTCTTTTATACATAAATATGTGTCCTCGGTGCGTCGGGGAACTCGCGCAGCGTCAGAAAATAAAACCCTCTCTCTTTTCCTCGGTACCCAAATCTTTTAAAAACGGGTGTACAACGAGCGGATACAGATTCCATCCGCTGTGACGTAATAGCGGCAGCGGACCCACAGAAAGTTGCTATCAGAAACAATGCCTGACGTGTTTTGGACGTCTTTGTTTACATTAGCAAGCCTCGCTAACACTCAGAGCTAACCTGTCCTAGAGAGCACATGCGTTTAAAAAGCAGGAAATAAAAAAAGAACTCACCTTGTGATAAACCTGCAAGAGAAAAAGTATTTGAGCTCCATACTATTTCAGAAATAATCCTTGACGTGGTTTAAACAGGATGGCGTTTTATCACAACCAAATTTAACTTTATCTCCGGTAGAATTCTGATTAGGCATTAGCTACGCCTCCTCTTATTTATTTTTTTCAAGCTAAGGACCCAAAATCTGCGTTTATCTAACAGGGCTTCAAAAGAGGGGTTTGAGCAATATGAGGCATGGCTACAATGGGTGATCTGTTTGGTATTTTGAAAAAAAACTTCACAGACATGTTTTGTATAGGTATGGCCCTACAATATATATTTCAAATATAGCATGATAGGTCCACTTTAAGGTTTGCAACTTCTAAGCATTTCCACTTTTACAAAGTAATAAAGGAGACACTTTCTGACACTATTAAAAGTAATAAAGAAGACACAACCGCAACAACAGTGAGCAGGTTATTCAGCTTATTAACTATTAAGTATTTGTGTAAGTTTGTTTTAAACATCAGCAATGTATAAATAGTGTATTTATTTTAGAATACTAAACCTAATTTGTACCAAGCTTAAAACATGTAATACCCTCTATTTTATTTACTGTTTTTTTATTTAATTTTGTCTATCCTGTAATATTACAAATTGTAAAAATGCCCAGGGATCCTTTCATGATCAATTGATTATTTTCATGTTCACGATCTATACATTTTAAGATCAACCATTGGTCCGTTGGGTTAAGCAGTAACATTTTCAAGATTCAAGATACTATACAATAGCTTACTGCAGCAGTTCAGCAATGAGCTTGCAAAAGCTATAGTTTTGTAGTAAAGATTTAGTGGATACATTAAGTGAACATGTAGTTGCATGAGTCTATGTTAGGCCTCATGCTCATAAAGCTCATACCCATATCCCTGCAGCTCCTGTACTTTCCTGGCCTCAGGTTAACCATCTTGTCTCTTGTTATATGGCTTTTTGTACATCAGCCATCAGGCTTTTTGCGAAACAATGATACAGTAGCTTACATTCTAACTCACTGCAAGAAAATTATTTGTATTCTTACTCTCGCAAAGCATATCATTTCTGATGACACGCGTCATGTACAAGAAACTATGATGCAAACATCATATTCAAGTAATTGTAAAATACAGTAGGTAATGCATAGAATGACTTAAGTGTTTTACTTACAGTTAAGTGGTATCAATATGCTTAGAGGCATGATCTGGCTTTGAAAATTAGCTATGTTGTGTGCTTTGTTTGCAAATTCCCTTAGAAATATATGATTTCAATTTGTATATCTACATACATTATATGTTTATTATGGCATGGCTTTAAAAAAATGATTTAAAATATGTTAATATTACCAGGGATGCAAACTTGTCACCTTTCTGCGAAATTCGCCGTTTTTAATCCAAAATAGGTCGTTTGTGTGATTCGTGTAGATCTGCAATAAAAATATTGTTGGGATATTGGGGGGGAAGTCATCTGCGGCCGTGAGCTGTTATGTGCCCTCATGACGCGCATAGTGTTATGTTTTCATATTAGAATGAAGCGTGAGCTGTTTTTCTGTCGCAATATTATTTAAGGAATTGTTGAGCTAGCTAACTAGCATACATTTTCATTATCTGCTAACGTTAGCTTTAGTCTTCGTTTTCTAATAATTTTTTTCATAGGCTATAAACAGAGGTGGTATAAGTATAGACCTTGTACTTGATTAAAAGTAGAAGTACTCAGATCTTGTTCTTGATTAAAAGTAGAAGTACTCAGATCTTGTTCTTGAGTAAAAGTAGAATTACTCAGATCTTGTACTTAGGTAGCAGTACCTGAGTGTAAGAATACTCTGCTACAGTAAAAGTACTGCATTACTCAAGTAAAAGTACAAAAGTATTAGCATCAAAATATAGTTAAAGTAGCGACAGTAAAAGTAGTCATTGTGCAGATTGGTCCATTTCAGAATAATATATATGATGTGTTTTATAATGATTGATCATGAAAGTGTTCTCAAAGCTGGTAAAGGTGCAGCTAGTTTGAATAACTTTGTATACTGCAGGGTAGCTTGTGAATTTACTCCAGGTGGAACTAAAGTCTGATTTAACACTTGATTATATTTCACATCATTCATCCACATCTGTAAAGTAACTAAAGGTATTAAATACATGTAGTGACCTCTGATTTGTAGTGGAGTAGAAGTACAAAGTAGCAAAACATTGAAATACTTAAGTAAAGTACAAGTATCTCAACATTTTACCTAAGTATAGTACTTGAGTTTATGAACTTAGTTACTTTACACCACTGGCTATAAAGATAGAAAGACTAAGCCTTGAACAGAGGCATGACAATACATTTTCAAAATGCTCAACAGTCCTGCCAAAATTATAAACTGACTGCTCCACAATTAAAATAAATGCTTTTATATATTTCTATTAGATGTGACTCTTTAGCATTTCTGTTATTATAACCACTGCTGCTTTAGTTGTTCTGACTGCTAAAATCATCTGTTATTCCTAATTTTAAAGCCGATATTCCGTGGGGTGGGGGGGTCAGGGGGCTCGGATCCTTGTCACCTTTTTCATACCTGATGAGTTTGCATCCCTGTATTACATGATATAGTACGGAGCCCTGGAGGGTTCATAGAGAGAAAAATAAATAAAACGAGGCCACGTTTTATTAATTTGTGCGCACGATATACTTTCTCGTTCGCACGAGAAAGTTACCGGTGCGCCAAGTAGGAAGTGGAGCGCACAGGAGACAACCGTTTCATTGCAGACTGTTATGTTTATGTGGGGAAATGACAGTGCATACATTATTTGAGATATATTTCAAACTCGGACTTCATTTTAGGGACATTTCGGCCAGAGGTGCAGAGCTATTTGTTTAAGCACCGGATTCGCAAAACAGGAAAGTCTGTGAACCAGTCTGCCTTGATCTATGAATTAATGTCGGCGTCTCACTGTGTTTACCTTCATGGAAACCTGAAATGCTACATGATGTGTGTACTAAAACTAATAAATATAACTTTACAAAACCATATGTATTTTTGGTATAGCATAATATGTCTTTTTGAAAGTTTGACAATGAGCTTGACAAATGTTAAGGTATTGCAGAAATTATTTATTTAGTGGAATTTGATACATTCAGTGAACATTGAGTGAACATTTAGTAGTAGGAATCCATGATACGCCTCATGCTCATGAACTTCTGGTTGCTCATGCCCATGTCCCTGAAGCTCTTGTACTCTCCGGGCCTCATGTACATCATCTTGCCTCTGAAGTTGGGCTGCTCGTACATCAGCCAGTGACCGTCCATCACGTTGCAGGACTGGCAGTCGGACATGCGGTAACGCTCCTGGATGTTCTCACAGTCGTCCATCATCTCATGACTCTGACCACCGAAGTTCTCCCTCTCATAAATCTTCATCCTGAACTGTCCTCTGTGCTGTTTTTGGAGAGAATAAAAATGAAGGCATGTCTTAATATCAATATATGTGAAGGTTTTCATATAAATAAGGGTAAAAGTATGACATATGCTGCTAAATACCCACCATGGGGATCATACGGCAAGACTTG